CTGCTGAGGTAATGACCTGTACTTTAACAAAAAAAAAAATACGGGTATACTCTATTGTCGAATATGGTGCATTAAGTAATTAATAAGTTAAACTGACACTCAAAAATAATCGAATAAAAAATCGGTCACAAAGTAGTAAACCACAAGGATTTCTTTTTTTCATTATAATAAACCTTGATATTTCAGTCTTCTTTCTGAACCAGATGCGAATTTAATCCTTGTTTATTTCGTGCTATCTCGATGGCGATAAACTAATAGTAAAATTATATTTAGCAAAAAATATTAATAGTAAAATTATATTTAGCAAAAAATAATAAAGAAATCATTATGTGAATGCCTTTAATGTCTTTATTACCTGAATTCGTGTTACTAATTATTTGGACCAACAAATTAGGCAACATAAACATATGAAATAATAGTGTTGAACAAATTGCGGATCATCGAAAAGTTTATAATTACCAAATATTGTGTTTTCTTCCGTATAATCTCCATTAACATTCTTTCTTAGCAAGGTTCCAAAATTATAATCATTAACTCTTTTTTCATACTTCATCATCCATTCACGCCAGGTGTTCTTTGCTTCGGGTGTTTTCATGGCATCTTCATTTACCTCCGCTATAGAAAAATCGGGAAACGTCTTCATAAAATCTTCATAGATTTCGTCATCGATTCTGTTTTTTACGAACGAACATTATAACGGAATGTGAACATGAACATCCAAAAGAATAAAAAAAAATATATCACACGAGGTTAAACGAAGGGATTTGCCATCGACGGAAGATATCAACTTGAAGTATGTTTCTGCATGGTGCATGGCCTTAACGGCCCACTGCTTCTCTGAAAGCAACGTACATATTTTTTAGTTCAATTACTATCATGATTATTTTAAAGAAAATAGATTAAATCTGACAAACCAATCTCAGGAAGTTGTTCAAGTTCGTCTGCACTTGGAAGTGGCATAATATAGAATTAGACCATGTTTGTTATAGTTAAAAAGAAATTGAAAAATGGAAGCGTTGATCGAAATTGTAACCAATGGGAACCAATTAAATTTGTACTTGATCACAAAATCTAATAAAAATTTTCATGTGATAAAAAATAGCCCAATTTTATTGGCTAATAGTTATATTTTTCGTAAAATGCACTAAAATTGATTCTTGTATTTTTCGCGGGCTACCTTGGAAGTTACACAAAACTTTTAGGAAATTTTGCTGGTTAATTTTTGCATTTACTTAAAAAATTTCCTAAAAATTGTTTGTGTATCTTCCAAACGCAAAACAGACCCACAGAAATACCAAAATACCTTATCCTTAAGTTTAGCAATATTTAAAAATTGAGTTTTTCCCATCGTAGTCAATGACTGAGGCCGAACCACCTATAAATCCTGTGTCAAATGGAAACGAATTTACTTCAACAGACATAGAAAGGTTATATTCTAGAATTCAAGCTGTTATTCAAACTCCAAAACCTTCGATATCTCCACGTCAAGTAACTCCTTACGATAACATGAGTCCCGCGCGAAGTCAATCTCCGGAACAATTTAACGACGAAACTGAAGAAAAAATCGAACCACAACTTCCAGAAGTATCTGACGTCATTCTTGTCGAATCTACAAATCAAAAGGTGAATGAATGTGATGACACAGAAGGTATTTCAATAGACTGTCATTGTCAAAGCATCAAAGTGACATCGGGGACTGCAATTTGCAGTGACTGTGGCAGAGATATACCAATACTGGCACATTTGAATAGAGAACGATTGCAAAGTATTGATGATTTAGAGGTTGCAAATAATAGAATAAAGGAAGAATTTGATAAAGCGGAGCGACAGAATGATGAAATTCATAATTTACAAAAGCGAATTATAGAACTGGAAGATCAAATTGATCTAAAAACCGACGAGTTAAATTCTAAATCTAAAGAATTAAATTCTAAAGCTGAAGAATTAAATTCAAAAACTGAAGAATTAAATTCTTTAAAAGAGGACATGGCTTCTTTAAATGATAAATATGTAGATGAAATTGAAAAAGTCGCAGAATTACAACATTCCAAAGACATGGTAGAGAATGAGTTAGAAGATTTAACTCAAAAACTTTTTGAAAGGGCCAACGAATTAGTAGCAACTGAAGCAAAACAGCGGCATGAACTACAACTCCAACATAATATTTTGAAGAAACAATTGGAAGAGACACAAGGACGTCTAGCAGCTGAAAGTTCTCAGCTAATGGAATTAAGAGAAAAGATGGAGCAAATGGTCCAACAACAGTCACAAATGACAGAAAGCGAAAGATTGAGCTTCAGTGATCCTTCATTTAGAGCTAGCATTGATTTTGCTGAACTTTTTGGGCTTCGTGAAAAATCACCTGAAGCAGCAGCAACCTTACCCGGCCCAACAGGAGTAGATGGTATCGGAATTGACGCTGATCTAATAGCGGAGTTTAAAGCTTTTGTTGAACAAAGTTCAACCGTACGACTTCAAAAAATTCATACTATCCCTTTCATGCGTCATTGCTTGGAAGAAGATGTTACACCTTGCATGAGATTCGGTAATAATCCACGTGTATTTTCAAGTAAAATAGTTGAAGCTATCGTTGCCAACACATGCTTCATAGAGGAAGCACCTCCAGGTGCTGACCGAGAGCAAGCTCTTAACCCAAATTCTCCTATCCGCGCCAGCGCGGCAAGACCAATGTTATGGGATCGTGCATTTGGAAATTCTTCTGCAACAAGAATTGGTTGCCAATGTTGCGGTCGAACGGGTCCTTTAGCTTTTAGATACAGAATAACTAATTTGGATGATTGGTCACTTATTGATCGTTATTGTCGTGATCGTATGGTTGCTGTATGCGAATTTTACGTCTTTATACGTAATGTTCGTCAAGGCTTATATAATAATCGTTCTATTTCGGACCTTTATGCTGAATGCTTAAGGTTAAGATTGCAAATGTTTTATGCGAGACTTGGTGCTTTGCCATCAATGCTCAGCTCACTTGGAATAAAGGGCACAGAGTTTGCATCTGCAAAGAAACCAACGTATATACTACCAGAAATGGAAGAAAGTCCAGTGTTGGTTATTAGTGATGATGCTTCTGGAACTTTATATAACGACCAGAAAGATTTTGTATCGGTGTCTCCACTAGAGGTTGGAATCGGTTTGTCTGATTCAACTTTAAATTCGGGTTAACCCGGTTTTAATAATAACCCGTTTCAATAGCAACCGGCTTTAATAATAAATCGGTTTTATAGTAAATGAAGGCTAATTCGGTTGTAAAACTCTAATAAACCAAGTTTAAAATTAAATTCGGTTTATTTATTATGAAAATAAGTATTGCAATCAACCCGATTTAAATTCGGTTTAATTCAATTCAATTCGGTTTTATATTTCCAACCGGTTCCGACCTCTAGTCTCCACTAGAGTTTAGAACCGGGTTATCGTAAGCCGGGTCACCCGTGTCAAAACGGTTCAACCGGGCGGGTCAAAAATTTACAACTCGGGTCAAAACGGTGAAGTTACTATTACACAGAAAACATAACAAAATTTAACACATTATTATTGTATTGTGAATAAACACCTTTTTTTTCTTAC